ATGTGCTGCTCAGTGGTAGCACAGTGACGTGTGGTGCAGATGTTCGTCGCGGCTGGCACGTGAAACTCGCTGGGTTCATGCAGAACAAGTGTGCTAACCGCTGTTTGGCCACCACTCTCCTCAAACACAAGAGTGATACGCGCTATAAAACAGTGCTGATAATGCTTTATTTGCACAGTAAAGCCTCGCTGAGTCTTAAGACTCTTTTTTTCAGAAAGGTCCTGGTTGTGATATTTGGCCAATTTATTTAATGTATTTGTGTGTGACCTGTATCCGTGCACCAATACGCACGTGGATCCAACCTTTTAGACATTTACACACACACAGTACAGTTTACAGTTGATTCTTTATTTGTTTCATTATATCATTTATGTTAATGTAGTTAATATGCAACTACCTAAGGTCGTCTATTGGTTTACCTTGCAAGTAATATATTGATTTTGTGGGGTGGAGCGATGGTGCAGTGCACTGTTAACCTGGCGAACGGAGTTTGATTCCTCGCCAGAGCTAACATCAGAAGCCAGTGATATATGAACCGATCATGCCACCTCTCCACCCCGACACTAATTATATAGTTAGTGGCTGCAGGACGTTGCCAACTACCTCGCCTGGTATACAGGAGGCCGTGGGTTAGATCCAGACCCTGACGCCTGCTGTATATTTGGAGTTTGCGTGTCTCTCTCGCAGTGGTCGCGTGGATTTGTCTACAGGTCCTCCAGTTTTCGCCCTCCACATTTACAATCTACATCAGGCGTTTAGAGTATTTTGCCTGTTATATATTTCCACACGACTATACACCCCTTCGTTGAGCTTTCATCTGTGGTGGCCAGGTTACTTCTGAAAGAGAGCTATACAGCTCAGTGGGCCTTAACCTGGTAAAAAAATATTTGGTTTTATTTTTTTAAACGGGTTTTCTCTCTCTCTCTCTCTCCTCGTGTCTTTCGAAATAATGAGCCTGCGTGTGTAAAGTGTGACCCACCCGACACCGGCAACTGACGGTACGAGCGACACACCACCGACTAATAACTTTTACCTGTCCAGCCATCCATCACTCACGGACACACGGCTACCACCAGTGCCTGATAGCTCAGCCGTGAGCGTTTTTTTTATTTTCAAACTTTGCGGTCGAGGGTCAGAGACTCTGAAGGTAAATGGAAAATACCTTGCACGTGTTCAATAAAGCGCACCTATCTGCACGATACAGGTCGGGTATTTGTTTAAATTCCACCTTTAATCAACCATACAAATTCATACCATATCTTGCTTATGCTTGATGGAGTCGATGAAATTATTCTAGTAATTTACAGTCATTTGTCAATCCACTGCTGGATGAATGGGTCCCCGTGCCGTGATGGTCATAGGTGCGAGTGCGAGGAGATGAACTGAGCATACTTCACCAAAACCTGTCAGCGCGGGCGATTCATTATTGGCAATCGTAGCAGTTTCCTTGTAGGGAATAAGGCCTGCTGATGAGCACTCGTTAGGGCGAAATGCACCCGTATAGCCCATGCAGAAGACTTCCAAAAGCCATTCTGTAAGACCCGTCAGCCAAACGATTGAGGAAAAGTACTACATCGGGCTGCAAGCAAGAACTAACACATTCGTACAGAAACAAAGACTGACTTTGCCACAGTGCCGTTTATATATATGTATTATTTGCATCACGGAGTTCTGAGTGGTCCCTGGGAGAGGAATGGGGAGTGGGTGTGTGTGTGTGGGGGTGTGTGTGGGTGTGTCAGGGGATGGAGTGGGTGTGTGAGTGTGTATGTGAGAGGGTGTGTGTGGGGGGTGTGTGAGAGGGTGTATCAGGAGGAGTGGGTGTGTGTGGGGGTGTGTGAGAGGGTGTGTGTGGGGGTGTGTGAGAGGGTGTATCAGGAGAAGGAGTGGGTGTGTGTGGGGGTGTGTGAGAGGGTGTATCAGGAGAAGGAGTGGGTGTGTGAGAGGGTGTGTGTGGGGGTGTGTGTGGGGGTGTGTGAGAGGGTGTATCAGGAGAAGGAGTGGGTGTGTGTGGGGGTGTGTGAGAGGGTGTGTCAGGGGAAGGAGTGGAGTGTGTGGGGGTGTGTGTCCTCGTGTGCAGGACTGACTAAGCAAGTTTCAAGGCATAGCATCGCGTAGCCCAGCACAGGAGACGTGAACACATTCTTCAGAAGAAACACATGCTGTGTACAACACTGTTAAACAGTGACTACACAAAGGACCTATTGTTTAAAGAGTATTTGGCTGCTAGAAATGTCCACATGATGACACGTCACTTCGTTGAGCTATCATTTGTGCCCAAGGTCGCTACTGAAAGAGAGCGATATCGCTCAGTGGGCTTTACTTGGCAAACAAAAACACTAAGTTTCGTCTTAGTATAGTTTAAACCATACCACACCTCAAAATTATACAATTTAAGATACCGTATTCATTTTCTGGATTATAAGACGCGCCCCTCCCCATCCCCGTGTTTTATAACAAAAGTTGGAGGTGCGTCTTATAATCCGGTAGGTGTGTGCGTGTGATTGTGAGTGACCCACATTGTATTATTAATAACGCGTACACGTATGGGTTACGTCTTATAATCCGACAAATATGGCAATAATACGTGTTGCAGAACTTTGTCAATGGAAGACTGCTAATGACGGCGTCATGGGGATTGTTTGACCATACTTCACCATTCTGGTCAATGCGTGTTGGTGACGGGGGGGTGGGGACCTAGAACCGGTTCAGATATCATTGGCCACTGACGTTAGCCGTGGCCGGGATCTCGAACTCAGTTTGTTCGTCTTGTTCACAGCTCACTGCGATAACTGCTGCACCACCACTCCCAATCTACGTAAATACTTTCCGTACAGACGAATGAAAACATAACAGGTATTTTCAACGTACACATTTGTAAGCACTGGGTCGGCGTGGAAGAATGGGCTAAAATAACGTCGACAGCGGGAGTTTCCCGAGCGCCCGCTCGAGTGGAGCGAGCAATTGGATGCCTTGCGCCTTTTACCGTTTGGCTACCCTCAATAACAAACGTAGCGAGTTTTGTTTTTCGCGTTAATGCACGCGGAGGAGGAGGGTGGGGAGGTCACAGAGAAGTGACTGTGGGCCCCCCGTGACCGGTAGACACTTGACCTGCTGCTCATTGTGAAGATGGCAAAGATGCACGATAACTCTGATGCACGATCGCTGTGCACGTTTTTGCTTTTGTTCGTCGAGGCATTTCACATTCGCGAGGCACACACCGATGGCCAGATAGACGCGATCAAAAACTTCATTCCACCTCCACGCTTACTGGACTTTCCGCAGGTGTTGTGATAGACTCTTGTTTGGACAGGTAACACACGCACACGCGGGCTAAGTATGAAACCTTTGTACCTGCGGCTTAACGATTTCACCCTCGCCCCCGCCCCCGATCCAACTCCAGTCTTATTCGGTCGCCACGATTCCAGATTTGCAGTTTTATTGAAGAAACAAATATTATTTTGTCTCCCAAAATCGGTTGATAAATACATAATTGATAACGCCATTGCCCGCCCCTATCATTGTGTTAACCCCTCCACCAAAGGTGATGCATCACCGGGACACGGCAGCGCACACGCACAGGCACGCGCACGCACGCGCGCGAGCGAGCAGCAGACATGCTCTGTGAGCAATCAACATCTGTGCTCCATAGACGTACTGCGAAGCATACAACAGTTGTTGAAGCGAGACGCGTAGAGGCTGACGGGTGTAAGCGGTGAGCTCAAAGCCAAGTTTCGGATTACGCGCGGCCCACGTGCCGTGTATGCTCTGCATCCCTGTTCCATTTATATAATAATTGTTACGGGTTATTATTAATGTTGGGCTGGTTTACCCAGCATAGCGTCAATTAGCACCAAACTCTTTTATCTAAAGGAGGGTCCAGGCAAGTTTTCGCAATAGGGAGCGAGATAACGACGGTGCTGTTTGCTATACCCGTGCCGAGCCTGTGTTCGCATACACGTATAGATGTACACCTGGCAAGATTACGGTAACGTAGTAGATGACTGCATTTGTTCAGCAATGCAAATTAAACGCGATTCAACGCGTGGTCAAAAAGTTCCACATTACCATAGAGAGGGCCAGCGGCGTTTAATATATATATCCGCCACATACAAATGGTATCCTAATTCGACCTCCGAACTGGCTCTGAACTCGTGACTTTCCTATTCAGAGTCAGGCGCTCTCATCGTTCACGTGCAGAGAAACCGTCCCAACGCAAGAGCTTCCAAAAACAGCCTCTTGACAATCAACGAGGTCTGTTCCTGGATAGAACGAAATCACATCAAGACCGAATTCAAACCCCGCGACGCCCTCCGAGACATGACGCGCGTTCTCGCTTAAGTCACCGCGGGCGGGGTTTGGTTGCGTGCAAGCGACGCGCACAAACAGGTTGCTAAAGGCTGCAGAGCTGCACTGCGAGCAGCAGAGAGATACGTGCAGCAAAATCATTGTTGTACTGTACTCCTAGCACCCCCCCCTCCTCGCCGAGACTACACGCCTCGCATCCACCAACCCTCGTTGACCAGCGTGGCGAAGTATGGTCGAATAATAGAATCGCCCCGCGTCGTATCGGATTAGCCTGCGGCTTGCTGCACGTGTGCGCACGCTGTTGATTCAACTTGCACGCGCGCTCAAACGACAAGCAGGCGAGCGTCACACAATTCGTGCGTAATGAAAACCTGGCGCTAAACTCACATTGCAAATGCTCTCCAACACACCGGTGTCGTTGTACTAGTAACAAATTGTCACGTTCGTGTTCACGTGACGACCCTAACTCATTGGCTGTGTCTGGTGGTGGCGGGTTTAACGACGCTGTTGTTTTACTTTACGCGCTCTAACCGAACCCCCCCCCCAAAAAAAAAAAAACACACAACGACCGCATTATGCACGCGTACAGATTCGCGCCGTAGTACTCGAATTTCCGTGCCCGCGCTTTGCAGGAGCGACGACACCGCCGGCACGACACGCGGAATCGCTGCCGCTCCCGGCAAAAGCATACTCACTTGGGTATCGGAAGTAAAAATCATTCTCCGCGTGGTCCGTGGTGTTCGTCTCGTACTTGGCGTCGCTCTCCTTGTCGTAGCGCACGAACACGCCGTACAGGATGATCATCGACACTTGCAGGATGAACCCCACGAGCGGCAACTTGGTGCGCATGCTGGTGCCGTAAACAGCTGCCATCTCTTCGCAGCGAAACTACGACTACAACAGCAGCAGCAGCAACCGAACTACGGACGACGGAGGTCTTTTTAATTGTGGCCGGTGAAAACGAATTGAGACTGGCGTGTTGATGACGCGAGCCTTCTCTCTCTCTCTGTGTGTGTGTAGCCTGCGCTCCTGCTGCCGCTGATGCGTCCCGTGACTGATGTGTCAACAGCTCTCGCAAGACGCTGGTGTATTGCACGGCGGATGGATTGCTGCCTGGGTTGGTGGTGGTGGGGAGGGGTTGGTGGCTGGATGATGAACCAAAAAAAAAGCTGCACTTGAGCGAGGCGCGCAACTGCACAAGTGGCCCCCGTGGCACTTTCCCGTCCCGCTTTGTATCGACCAGAGGGACGCGGGCCGCTCCCCCTCCAGCCCTCCACCCCCCCTGGAGGAAGTTTTATTGGTCGGAAGCGAATTGTGTGCGCGGCCACGCGCGATTCAAATTCACGTCGCCTGCCGTTGCGTTGCGTGTGGCGCGCGCAGCCCGCGTTGTGAGCGGTTTGGTGAACACAGCCAGGCAGGCAGGCAGGCAGGCAGCTCACCCCAACGCAACGCAACCCTCCCACTCACCCTCCCGCCTGCCCGCACGTTGTAACCCCTACTACACTCTTACAGCGGAATTAAGTGCTGTTCGTGAAGCAGCCCTTTAAAGGTCGGAACTACGCACGGGTTGGTGTGAGGTCAGCACCACCCACACCGTGCCGTCCTTGTCTCTCCCTGTGATGATGGTGATGATGATGATGATGTTTACGCACCGAACTGGGTACTAATTTGAGCTACTGTACGTTAACAATACGCTTTGTAATAATGCTGTATCGTGGCTCGCGCACTTGCGTACCAGGGTTCGTTTCTTAGCACATCCGATTAGCACGGTTGGCTCCGTACGGTGCCAATATAACTTCAATCTACACACATTTTTAGGTGTGCACATTGAGAGTGGTAGGTAGTGTTTGATAAGGATGCGCACTTCACAGAACATATATTTTTAAAAATAGATTCTTAGAAAAAAATAAACATGTACTTATGTATCCAGGAAAGCCATATTGAGTCGCAGGTCCTGCATTGACTTTTATATTTTAAGATATTTTCAGCCAAATAATGATGTTTATACACTTGGGGAGCAAACCGCAGCACCTGAAGAAAACCCACGTGGGCAACACGAAACAGCAAATACAAACGAGACAGCATACAAGACATGGCGAGATACTACACGCTTCATCACGTAGCCACACGACTCCTGCCCACTCCGATCATTCGCTGCCAGCATTGCACGATATTCACCAGGCTAATGTGGCCCAAACTACGGAGCAAAGAGTAAACCACTGGAGTCTGCGCCCCTTCAACGGATAAATATCAAAACGACACGAACTCTCCGCTGAAGCCCTCTCTCTCATCGTGGCTAGCAGCAGACCTCGGTATTGGAATTATATCACGAACATATTGTCATGCGCAAGATTGGAACCAGGCTAGTCCTTGACATGAGCATAGAAACACGGCTGATACACAGCAACAACTGAGACGAACACTCGGCCGACCAACGAGACAAATGCGTGTCATAGATTCCGAATCAGTATCATTCTGGAGGGTCGAGAATTGACGTTGGTTTCCACATTTTTTTTGTTTTTTTTCCGCTCCATGTAGCTTGGAGTTGAAATATCGGTTGGACTCAGCCAACCTTTTCGGGAGAGATACAGACAGCGCCGGTTTGTTGGAAGGCCAGCAGGAGTTCCGGTTGGAAGTTGCATGGCGATATCAGTTCCTACCAGGAGAATGTGGATTCACATCACGGAGCTGTGCAGTGCCACCCCCATGCTCACTCGAACAAGGAGACTTTTTGTATTCTTGGGTTTTTTTCGGGAAAGTCACGTAGGTAAAAAATTACAATTAAAATAAAATAATTTTTTTACCTACGTGACTTCACCGAAAAAACCCAAAAATATGAATCCTTGCAGTCACGAACCGACCCGCACTGACCGGCGCGGTGAAGTATGGTCACACATCTACCACGACCTGTACGGCGCGGGGAGGCCTTCATGCTTGACATAGCAGCATTGACAAAGGTCTGAAAATAGTCAGTACCTTTAGTGTAGCAGACAAAGACGCAGATCCCCTCTCTAACCATGCCAGACTGTTGGGGCAAGTACTGTTAGCGAGCACCTTAGGGGCAGTCCATAAATGACGTCACGCGATTTTGGCCGATTTTTGACCCCCCCCCCCCCTTCGTCACACGGCGTCACAAAAAGTCAGACCCCCCCCCTCAAATATGACGTCACAAAGCTCTGCCCAGCCCCCCAAAAGAATAAAACATTCTTCAAATCCTAGATTTAAAGTTTTCGTGACTGCAAGTGTCCAATCTCTTTGGTTTTTTGGGTAAAGTCACGTAGGTAAAAAATTAAAATAAATTAAATCACGACGTTTCGGAGGCAACACAAGCTTCCATCTTCAGGTGGAATCGTCACAGCAAAATTGCTGTATCAAGTGAATAGAGCTCTAAGAGACACGAGATTATATACAGGTTAAAGGGGGAGGGGGGGGGGAGCCAGGATGGGCCGTGGTGGGGGGGGGGGGCTAAGTCAACCCGCCTTGTGTTATGCTGCAGGGATTAGGGGGACGGAGAGAGAACCGTGTGCAGGCGATGATGGCAAGTGGTTGAAAAACAAAGTTAGACACGTGAACAGGAGGCAGTATTTAAGCTGACAAACTGGTTGCCTCGCATCTTCTTGGTTCTTTCGGTAAAGCCACGTGACTTTACCGAAAGAACCAAGAAGATGAATCCCTGCAGTCACGAAAGCTTTAAATTGGTTGCCTCGCAGTATACTGCAGTAAACTATAAGGCTGCTAAAGTTGAACTTAGGTTTAACTTGGTTAAAAAAGGGGCTAATTTAAGCTGGGAATAGCAAACAACTGGAAGAAATGGAAATGGCTGTACAATTATAAGGCAGCTAAAGTTTGACTCGGTGGTTCATCAACCAAGTCAAACTTTAGCTGTCTTTTTACCTACGTGACTTTACCCAAAAAAACAAAGATAATGCTTCAAATCGCTTGAAACTATTGTGATTGTAGTGCGTATTTAATGTGGCGCTGCACTCTGATGTTGGAGGAGAAAACATTTATATTTAATTATGTAGAACGTGTTGTCTATATTTATTGAAAGTTGCACTGTGACGTCACGTCATCAAACCCCACCTCCCCTCGCCACACATCGTCACAAATGTCTGCCCCCCACCCCTCTAGGTGCGTGACGTCATTTATGGACGGCCCCTAAGAAGGCCAGCACGGCATACGAGGGGGTGGGTGCCCACCAACCACGCCCGCCCGCCTTTCCCTCGTGGCAAAGTTGTTTTTACACATTGCACCAGGTAGTCAATTGAGGCTGAATCGACCTAGGGGAGGCCCAGGACCGGTGCAGATAATCGCTACACCACGGCTCCACATGAAGCAGACAATCACTTTTACACTAACACCGGTTCGAACTTCTTCCGGGCTCCGTTCACAAGTTACATAGAATATCCGAATAGCATTTGCGTTGGCAAGAATTGCAACTGTTCTCATTATGCTCCAACACGTCTAGAGTTCAGCTCACCTCGTACGTAGTTACACATGCCTCTTGCTACTGTGGGTTTAACGAGGTGAAGTTGACGTGGGAATCGGTGCTAAGGGCTCGCTGTGTTATTCGCGTATCAATTTTAAAAGGCTCCTTTATCTGAGCGTGCACTTGCTAAGCAGCTGCGGGCCATAAAACCTGTTCTGTATTAGGCCGTCACGCTCTTTCAGTGGCTTGGAGGAATGCAATTTCTCATCCATTAACCTTTTTTTTTGCCCATGGTCAAAGACCTCGGCAGACCTCAGAGGCGAAGCTGCCTTGTGCCTGGGCAGTGCGTGGGATGGGGCCACCAGACCACCGTATGTGCAGTAAACAGGTGCTATAGGACGCTTTGAGGCTACCCCGTGGGCAGCGGTGGATGATGCAAAAATGTTAATTGTTGTGCTGCACTCTATGATCCCCACATTCACCAAACTGCACTGACCAGCGTGGTGAAGTATGGTCAAATATAACCCCTCACCGCCCGCATCGCGCGGTGAGGCCATTATCTCGCAGTGGATTCGCTAAAATTACGAACTGGGCAATGTTTTATTTTACCAGGTAAGCCACACTGAGCTGTTTAGCTATTTTTGCAGAAGCGACCTGGCCACAAATGACAGCTCAACGAAGTGGCTTATCACCTGGAAATGTAGAGCAGCCGAATACCCTTTAACGCGTGTTTCTAAATGTGGAGGGGAGACCGGAGAACCCGGATACGAATCCACACGACCAAACCGCCCGATGATGCTGGATGTAATTTCGAGCGAAACGTCACATGTTTCATGGCTTTATTTTGGTGATTTCGAAAAGTTTACTGGTTTCGCCATGTTTGTTTGTTGTAGTACGGAGTAAGACTGATGGCCTTAATCTAAGTTGTCTTGTGGTTGTTGTTGTTGTTGTTTGACTTGCATCCCACTGGGATTTTTGCACACAGCGTTGGTGTACGGGGTTTTTTTTCTCAATATTTTGCTGTCTTTTCTTGGATTTTCTGTTTGCACTTAGTCACATATTCACTTTAAGATGTTTTCTTGTTCATGTTTTTGTTTTTGTTTGATGCGGTTGCAACCGATTCAAGAGCCAAATGGCTCACAGGGCTGTACCTAATCAATGAACTTGAACTTGAACATTGTAAATGTTGTGGATTCACTCTTCAAACACACTGGTGGGCTGAAGTAGTTAACTAATTGGCGTTTTGTTAACGTGACGATTCCCTTACTGATTGGCCGTGTCGGGTGGTGGAGGGTTTCGACACATTTATACTTACGCGATCTAACCCAAAAACCTTAATTATGAATAATAGCCTACGTGTTAAACTGAGGGAGAGAGAACATACAAACTACAAATATACAGGCGTCAGGGTCGGGATCGAACCCACGACCCCCTGCATGCCAGGCGAGGTAGTTAACGTCTCACCACCAGGGCTGCACATGTGCAATGTTTATCGGTGGACCTCATTGCAAAAGAGTTTTTGCTTCTGCAGTGTCGGTGTAGTGGTGAGTGGTAGGTGAATAGTGGGGTCAATCGTACTCCCACCTGCCCCATTCATTTGACTAGAGACACGTTCTAGATATGAAGCTTTCGTGACTACAAGGATTCATATTCTTAGGTTTTTTCGGTAAAGTCACGTAGATAAAAAATAATATTAAAATTAATAAAAGTAATAATAGAAATAAAATAATGAATCACGACGTTTCGGAGGCAACACAAGTCTCCGCCATCAGGTGGGACCGTCACAGCTAGATTTACTTATCAAGTATCAAGAGTAGAGGCACGTTGGTGGCCAACTTGGGACCACAGTCATTTCAGAGCGTCTACAACCAATCGCAACGCTGTTCTGAGAGGTGCCCAAAAGAACTGTTATGTCATCAATGCGGATGGGGGGATCAC